ATTGACTTCATATGTTGTCCCAACACACATCTCTCCATATTGACTCAACTGAATCACTGAAAGAGGACCGGGGACCCCACGGGCACCGGAATCCCATCTTGATTCTGAGGCTCACCTTCAGTGTGGTCTTAGAAAGGTGGCTTAATCTCCTGGGGTACCGGCTTTCTTATCAGCATGACAGGCACAAGAATACACTCCAGGCCGAGTGATCGATTAGAAGTCTTTATGCCTGGCCAGGAAACAGATGCTGCTTGTTTGGGCAATTTTCAGAGGACAGAAAGAAGCGTTCAGGCATTATGAAACACTCTGGGCTTTGAGGCCTTCAAAAGCGAGGGCTTTGATCTGTGAACCAGTGCACAGACCCAGGGTTGAATCTGTATGAAGGTTTGCATTTAGAGGGCGGCGCTGACCTAACCCAGGATCCCAGGCTGGCACGCCTTTTCCCCTGAACTTTTACCCAGAAAGCGAGGCCCACACAGATGTTACTGAAGATCACACAGCAGGAGGGCACCATGCGGTCCTTCAGGGCTCAGCAAGCACAGGCTCACCCTGCAAGACGGATCACACAGCCAAGCCAAGCTATGAGACAAGACCCAGGCTTGATTATGGCTCTGAGTCAAGGAACAAAGTCACATGCAAATCAGGCAACTGGGATCAAAGCAGCAAGGAAGTCATGCAAGGGTTCTTCCTTGACCCACGCAAGGAAGAGGAAATCCAGGACTGCAGAAAGCAGTGAACAGATTCCTACTCTGTCACCCACAATCACACAAGTCCAACAGTGAGGCGTTCGGGTCTACCACGCATGGGCCCAGCTACCCCCCACCAAGCCATTCGCCATCATCCTTGAGCTCAGACATGTTCAAAACATCTGGCTTAGTTTGTATTTTCACTGTTGCCCAAAGTCTCATCTTGATGTGCTGCCTTGCTCCTGAGTCCAAAGACAAGGGGTCAATGGACAAGCAACTGAGACTCGTGAGACTGTGCGCAAAATGTCTCTCCTCATAAGCCGATTATGTCACACGTTTGCTGCAATGATGAGAAACTAACCCAATATCCTGCGTTCTTCTATCTTTGGTCTTGGGACCTTGTTTGATGCTTGACATGAAAGTTACAGGGTAGCACAGGGGAAAAGCATATGGGAAACCCTCTCAGAACGAGTCCTTCATGTCCTACATATAATAAGAGCGGAAACAGATCGAAGAAGGAAGATGGAAAATTCTGAGGAGATTCAGCCTAAATTCTTTTAGTTATTTGCGAGTTTTAATGATTTTCTTTTTCCCTTTCCTGCTCTTCAGAAGCAGGACTAATCATGGCTTGCTCCTTGCTAGAGCACACTGTGGAGTCTGAAGTTACAGCTTTATTATTAAACCAAAAACTAAGTCTTAGTAAATTATTTTCTGTAAATGGCATTCTAGTTTACTCTGGGAGGAAGACGCCATAGAAATTAATTGCCTCTAATATTCTTTCAGAGCATTTGAAATAGCCCCAGGAAATTGAGTTGAAATATATGCTTTTTAAATGTTATTCTTTTCACATTAATACAATGGCAGCCAATAAACACATTCAATTGAAATGTGCCCACAAAACAACAAGAAAATACATTCATTGTGTCTGCTCGATCCATCTACTCCATTTAAGCTATTACACAACACTGAAATCAATGCAATTGCATAAAAATATATACACACACGCTATATATAAAAACCTTTCACGTTTCCTGTAACCGCATGTGCATATCTACGTACAGTCCCCGAGGTGTTGTTATGGTCTCTGTCTAGCTGTCCCCCCAAACTCTCACAAGCTCATAGGTGGGGCTTTGCAGAGGTGACTGCAGCCTGGGTTTGTGGTACTCAGCAGCAAATCAGTGCACTGATGAGTCTGTAGCTAAATGTCTTCCAGCAAGGTGAAGCCTGCTTGGAAGAGGCGGGTCACTGGGGGCGTGGCCTAGTAGGGTCTCTCTCCCTTCTCCTCCCTTGATCCCAGTCTGCTTTTCATAGCTACTGTCATGAGCTGTTTCTGTTCTTCCAAGCCCCTCTGTCATGCTGCCCTGCCTTGGAGCCGGTTGACTATTTGTAGGAGTGAAATCTCTACAAAGCATGAGCCCTAGTAAACCTCTCCTCCTTAGAGTTGCAGGTGGTGCGCACTGTAGCTCAGGAACAAGAGGCTAAGTAGGACACACGTGATGGATGAAGTTATGATGCTTGTAGATTTTGTGCTGCTGTTGCTGCTGATCTTGCTGCTCTGCCATGGTACAAAAGTGAGATGCATTCCGACAAACAGTCCACTGAGTGCTGAGCTTTGAGCTTCTCCAGGCGGAGGGATGCACAGTACCATACTGTCTCCAATCAGCTGCAGCCCGATCACAGGCAGAAGCAGCTCACACTGCGCACGGGGCCACTATGCTGCGAGCATATTTTGCATAGTACACCTTGCATATTTCCATTCCAGCATGACTACATGCTTGCGCATCTGTGAGTGTATAGGAAGCACTCAATACTACTGTTACAAATTCATTTTGCAGGGGCTGGGGAGATAGCTCAGTGGAATAAGCACTTGCCTGGCAAGCACAAGGGCCTGAGTTCAATTCCCGGTTCCGCAAAAAAAAAGAAAAATCCATTTTGCTCTACTGTCGGTAGCATACATGTCCTAACTATGTTTAATGTAGGCTCGGAGAAGCTATCATGGCCAACAGATTAAGGACAATAATGCATTTTGTGTGTCATCTTTGCACAAGGGCCGTGCCAATCTTTTCTACATCGTTCCAATTTTAGTATATGTGCTGCCTAAGTGAGCACTGGGCAATAATGGATTTCCTTCTTTCTTGCTTTTTTGTTTTTTGTGGTACTGAGGATTGAACTCAGGACCCTGCATAATAATGCATTTTGAGTTACAATATTTTCAGCTTCCTGAGGAAGTGTCTCGGTTACCTTTCTCTCATTGCTGAGACAAAATACTCAACATTCTAAGTTAAGGACGGAAAGGTATTCAGCTCATGGTTAGTCGGGCTTTCAGTCCACCCTTGGCTGGCTCCAAGGCAGAGTGGCTCATGGCAGAGAGCAGCAGCTCATGGTGGTAGAAGACGGCAAAACAGCAAAGGAAGGAGCAGCGTATGGGGCAGCTAGCAAGCCTCCCTCCCCTCCTCATAGTGCACGCAGATTGCCACCCCAAGGCAGGTGTAGCAGTCACACCCATAATCCCCACATAGGATCCTGAATTAGTCACAAGCCCGAGAAGCCATCCAAGACCGCATAAGGCTTTTGGGGGAATACCTAAACACGAACCACAACAGGAAGAATCAGGAGGGAAATCTGTGTGGAAAACTACTGAAATTAAGTGTCATTCAGTTAGACATAATGACACATTTTCTCAACTTCTTGATAGCATGCATATTAATTTTGTAACATATTACATACAGTCAAATAAATGCATTTAACTGAAATAAGGCATTTTCTCTTATGTATTTATTTCATTTTTTGTGTTTTAGAGAAGGGTCTACTGAGGGTGTTCAATATCTCACTACTAGATCAGACTTGTAGTAATCCAATTGTTCACAGCCTCCCAAGAGCAAGGATTACAGGCATGCGCCACCACACTCAGTCTCAATTCCCATCTCAGTGCCAGGCCCAGGGAATCAAACCCCCAGCCCCTGCACCTGCTTACAAGCGCTTTAATCCACTGAGCTATTTGGCTGGCCCTACTTTTTATTTTCTGATGGTTCTGAGAACTGAATCCAGGGTGTTTGCCTTGAATTATATCCCTAGCCAATTTTTTTTTTAATGTCTTGTTTAGAGACACACTCGTATTAATCAGGTGCTAAATTACCTAGGCTGGGATTGAATTTATGATCCTTCTGGCTCAGCCTCCCAGATTGCTGGGATCTTATTTTCTTTAAAATCACCTTCCCCAATTATGTACATATATGCATACCACAACACACGTGCATCGGTACACATATAGCTACAGACATCCATTCCCCTTGAGTCTGCAAGTCGCAACTATTTCAGGTGCTTTAATGGATTCTGAATCTCCAGAATTTACAAAGTAAACCTCCTGGGCTATTTCAGCGTGCTTGGTGTTCCGTGGACTTGTCTACCGCGCCCGCAGCTTCCTACTGAGTGTTTCCTTCAAGGCGACAGCAGATTTTTCAATTGAAAATCAGCACAGTCCGTGAGCATAAGACTTGGCAGGCCTGTCGCACGTGTGCTGCAAGCAAGCGCTTGCTTGGTGGGGAGTTAATAGATACTACTGTACGTTCCTTTACAAGAGGCCGTGGGGCGGGCCATAGTAAGTTGTGAACAATCCCGAGAGCACGCGGACGTTCAAGTAAACCCGTAACTTGCCCATTCAGAAGGGACGGATCCCCTTCCTGCCTTCGTGGGCCGGGACACACTGGAGAGTGAGGATGTCTCACCAGCCTTCTGCCCCTGTCCCGTTAGCCAGCACAGGATTTGGGTTCAAGTGGAAAAAAAAAAAAAAAAAAAGGGAGAGAACCCGACATTCGAGAACATACTCCTTGAAAAAAAAAAAAAAAAAAAGGGAGAGAACCCGACATTCGAGAACATACTCCTTGAACCCCCTTGCTGCTGGATTGTTATCTGAAGAAGAAGATGAAGAAAAAAAAGTTCTTCTCGCTGCTCAATTCTTGGAACTTTCATTTTCCTTATAGATTTTGCCGGTGCTGCTGGAATACATTTCCCTTTATTTGTACAATCAATATTGTATTTTATTGATTTTACTTGACTCTTCATGCTGAGCGTCGGAAAACTTACCAATCACACTGGAAAAATTTTAAATGTATAGGAAGATGTAATAATAGTTCCTGAGGAAACAAAATTAACTAAAGCTCCACCCTCTGTTCTGTGCATTTTCCGATATCTGAGCTAAGGCGGACTGCCTCATTTCTGGCCGGCTCCGTTTCCGCATGAAGCGCGCACTTCCTACCCTGCAAGGTTGCTGAGAATGTGGAATCAGAGGTCATTTATAAGGTAGGGAGCATTTTGTAGCCACTTGTGAGCCCACGGCTAGGACCGCTCCTGGAGCAAGGAGAGAATTTCAGCCACAACCACTCATTCTTCCATCCTGGACTCCCGGCACATGGCCTTTGCGATACTTCCAAAAACCGACCACGGCACTGCTTCGGGGTGTCACACGGAAACAAACCCTTCAGGCGGGCACAGTTAGCTCACTCAGAAGCACTGACGCCCAGCGTGCGTGAGCACACAGCACCCCTGTCCAAGGCGCTCAAGCAAGTAACGAAGGAAGAGTCGACGCACACACACACGCACGGCTTCTCTTCTTGCAAGGGTGCAAAAGGATAGAAAAGATCCTAGCATCTCCACTCATGGGCACTGTGGGCGCTGCTGCCCGTAACAGAGCCTAGAGGGAAAGAGGAAAGTAGAAGCGAGCGGAGGACGGGAGGGGAGGGGAGGGGAGGGG